AGATTAACTTATATTGATGGATTTAATATTTTAAAATTATTATTTTGTTCCAAATTAATTTTCTAATAACCTTCCTTAATTCAAGTTTTCAAAATTTTTGGCAAGTATTAATGGTTTTGTTATGCATAATTAATTTGTACACAAAACTTTGTATCTTGTACCTCCTAAAATTCAAGATATTACTAATATGTTTTATATATAGTATAAGATATTCTAACCCCTCTAGATTTATGATATTTTCATATATGTACTTCAAAAAAATTATTTAATTTAGTTATTAACTTAAAAAAAATCAATCTTATATCATTATCCCGCTACACATTAGGATAATAGATAAGGATAATAAAAATTCTAATAAAAGTAGGATACAAATTGATTAAGAAAAGTAAAACTCGATAAGAAAACCAAAAAAAAAAAAAATTCAAATGTAGAACTTATTTGGATAAAAACCGTTGGAATGTACGCCTCTACCGGATTTCTCATTAGAAAATATCAGCACCGGGTATAACTAGAAAAATGCTTAAACGGTCGTGTATTGAGTTTAAAAATTAGCTTTATCCTGATTCCAGGTATTTCGGATACGGGTCCTATGGATCCGGGTATTCCGGGTTTTAGAACCGGGTTTGTAAAGAAAAATAAATAAATAAATAAAAACCGGAACCAGGTTCATTTGGGTTTAACGAACCGAAACCGGTTTAGTGGGGCTGCTCAAAAAAATACACCATTACTGATCCACCCACGACGACAAGGGCTACTCAAAAAAAAATCTACTCCTCTCCTGTGATCAACATCAACTAGAAACTCAAATCAATATTTGCTAGTAATCTAAGTGGAAGTTCACCATCATTCCGATTTTGCCCCCTGAATGGTTTTCTGATTTCACTGTCACTTTTTGGTGTTCTACCAGCACTAGGTGTTGGTGATCTTGAGACTTTAGCATACCCAGATGTAAATAAAAGTTTGCTTGAAAGAACCTAAATATTAGAAATTACATTCAGAACCTAGATGAAGCATAATCTTTGAATATAAGTGATTATTAGTTTATTACCTACTAATTCAGGGTCAATTCGGTGAAGCATGAGCTTTCTTCTTGCTCTGCAACTTGCTCGATAAGCAATGACTGTATGTCCAAGGGCAAAAACGACAGAAAAAAGAAAGAGTAAATGCATCCCCGTGACTTCTTTAAATGCAGTCTTTGTCTTGAAGGAGATGATGAAGCTTCGGCCTCAAGTTGTGAATTAACAGTGAAATTGCAAACTTTAATGGATAAAAAGAGAACTGAAAAAAGCAGAGTATAATGTCACTGTTCCATGATATTGTCCGTGTGAGAGTGTGAGAGTACAGGGCAATCACAAATCATATAAACACCTGAAATAACAAAGAAAAGGCGATTTTAATCCTTTTTCTTTTCGGTGATTATTTCATCTGATTATGCATAGACAGCAATCAATGAAGTTTAAAGAAAAAGGTCAAAAGAAGACAATGAGAGCAAATGCACTAACCACACAATTTAGACACCACTACCATAGGTTTATAAAAAAAGGGTAATTTGATGATTTCAAGAGACCCATGTGTTATCAAGTGGTATACCGTAATAGGTTTTAGGATATACATATTCTAATTAAATTTTATTATATTGTAACATATGACATAGGCCTGGTTTATGTCTGAACATCACATAAATGGATCAGTTTGTACATATTTGCTTCATCTTGAAATAGGTATAGTAGAAAAAATAATACAGAAAAAATAAGTTAGGTTGTACGAAATCACATAAATGATGATACAGACCCATCATACTAGGCCCGCATCATGCCATAAGCCCAAGTGTAGAACTCACTCCCAAAAGCCAACTTGTAGGAGGAGGGGACACCTAGACTTGTAAGCCACCAACTTATAGTACTTTCGACCGATGTGGGATCATAACAAATGATAAATGTACCGTTTATTTTATAACAATTTGAAAGTAAGACAGCTTCACAATTTGTTTTTTTCTTTCATTTTCCAAGTGTGTCACCTTTACGATTCCGGGTTTCCGGTTATTTCTGGGTCTAATACACGAATCCAGTTCCAATTATCAATTTTCGGTTCCAACCGGTTTCATACCCACTTTACCAGGTCCGATACCCGGAACCGGTTCACGTATACCTGTTCGGTTCTTGGTTCTTATAATACGTCAATTCCGGTTTCCAGGTTTTCCGGGTCCGGGTCAACCGATCCAGGTTTGGACCCACTTTCATCTCTACCGCCTCCCGATGGCTCACCAGTCTCTTTCTTATGTCCGCCTTTGATGACAATGGTGCGCTCTTGGTCTTTCCTCTCTGTCGTTTGCCGATCTACAACTCCGACCATCAACCTCCGTAGCTAGTGAGCTCTCTGTCTCTCATCTTTGTAGGATTTGTAACTTCTTTTTCTGTTTCTCTTTCTTTCTTTTCTTTCATAGAACTTTTTTTTAGCATAAACGTAAAAAGGCATATTATATTGTGAGTTGTTAAAGTACAAAAATGCTGCAAAAAAATGTTTTAATCTTGTTTATTAATTGTAATATATCTACCAACTTTTGTTAAAATCTTATATAGAATAACTTTGAATTTTGTATAAGGTTTTTATTCTATATAAGATTTTATCAAAGTTTTCTATTTATTTATTATTTTGTTTGTTTCAAAGTTTTAATTTTGTATAAGGTTTTTATTCTATAGAATAATTTGGGTTGTGGTGACTTGGTAAGACATGTGGAAGATATGGTGGATAACCTATTGACCCATGTTCAAATCTTGGCACTACTCAGCCCTTGTGGCCATGGAGGTTCGCCTGCAGTGACTTCAGGGCATGAGGCAAAGCCTCGTTAGGGAAGTTCCCTTTCCAAAAAAAAAGGTTTATTTATTTATTTATTTATTATTCATAGTATATATATATATATATATATATATATATATATATATATATATATATATATATATATATATATATATTGTCACACCCCCAAACAAGAACGGTTGAAACGTTTGGGGGTGAATGACTTCGTTTACAATATCATAACAAATGAATAATAGTGATCAAAGCCATACGACCATTGCATTGATAATTAAGTAGTTTACATTGTATTCAAATCATTGTTTGTTTGACATCAAATACATATGACAAAAAATATATGACGTGATATTGAAGCGCTCCATCCTTAAAAACCGTTTTGAGTACCTGTTTATTGATTTCCTGATAATACAAGTGATTTTGAAAAGTGTCAACAATTAAGTTGGTGAGTTCATAAGCGTTTTGTATGAGAATGATTGGTAACTTTTCCTTGTAAAAATGATAGAGTGTACTTTCAGAAAATCCAATATTATCTTTAAAATGAGCTGTAAGTCTCAAATCCAAAGACTAAAAATGTAAGTAGTGTTGTACTTAAAAATAGTATTATGAAGTTTTATCATTATATAAAACTACTTGAATGTATGTTAACCCCGTAAACCAAATATTTTGCTAATACCCCATGTGAGTTATCTTAACCATGCTAGCGACTAGTGGCCTGTTACGACGTTCTTCAGACGTCGGATTGTTATGACATTTGTCACCCCAGACCTGTCGGTCTAACTGTAGCTAACAGCTTGGGTGCGGGGTTGTCAATCCCCATATAGATCTATACAAAAGTGTCACGCTCTCCATACAAGAGACTCTGGTTATAATTCAGGACTTTAGTGTGTACTCTGGTAGGTAAGGTGAAGCCAAATATCTCACAAAATTGTATCAACCGGTTTACGTATAGTGCACTGAAAACCCTTTTCTTGTAAATGTAAGTATTATCCTTCCATAACGGTTACATAGTGTAAAAATAATTATACTTTTAAATAATTATTTCTATGTCCTGAAGGAGTAAAGAGTGTGAATGCCCCAAAAACTATACTTATTATAGTTAATAAAAAACGTGTTTCGTTGAAATGAAGAATCCATTGTATGTACCACTATCATTTTACCATGATAGATAATAACATGGAATGAAATAATTATATATGTATTTTATAAAATTATATATGTATTTTATTATCGTAATCATATTTGTACCCATATATATATATATATATATATATATATATATTATATATATATATATATATTTGTAAGAATAACATATCGTGTTTGTGCTCGTTTTTCCTAACTTCGTGTTTTTAGCAAAACTTTGTATGGAAAGTTCACAAGTTTGGAGGTAAAACTGTTTCATGAGTTTAGCACTTTTTTTCCAAAAGGTAGTAAAATGTATTTTGTATTTTAACACAAGTTCTCTTGTGTTTTACTTGTATTCCCCCCCTTAAAACATAGAAAAATCTTGAAAAGTGTAGGGGTATGAACTCACCTTGAGTGTAATTGTGGTGGGATGAAGAGTTGATGGTGAAATCTTCAGGCTTGGAACACTTGAATGTAGTCGTATCCTATGAGTTTTTAACACATAATAATGTGTGTGAATGAGATGAACTATCATGAATGTGTTGTAAAAACACTAGATTAATAAGAAAACTTACTATAATTCTTAAGAATCAATCTTGAAGGTGTTTCTGGAATGTTTTGATGATGTTACTGGGAGAAAATGCATGAAGTTTGTACTTGTTTTCTTGAGAGAAATTGTAAGAATTTGAAGATGGAAATGAGAATCTTTGAGGAGTTCTCGGGCCTAATATATATATATATATATATATATATATATTATATATATATATATATATATATCTATATATATATATATATATATATATATATCAAGGTTGCTGAAATCGCTTGACGGTAGCTCGACGGTCGACTGAGGTTAAGGGATTAATCGGTCTCGACGGGGATTAATCGGGGACCATTATTTATTAATAAAAAATTAAATATATACTAAGCAAATAACCATAAAAAAAGTCATAACTAGTATTTAAACATTTAAGTCATAATCCATCATATTACAAGTCCAAAATAAGTTTAATAATAATAGAAACACACATTTTCATATATTAAATGTTCATATTCTTTTAATCTTCAAGTTCTTCCACTATTTGAACTCCATCCGACTCATATTCATCTTCTTCAAACAATTGCTCCTCATTGTCGGATTCGAAATCTTCATCAAAAAGTTCTCTCGGTGTTGAACTTTTACGGGGTACTTGATTATTATTAGTCCCAAGAGTTTCATCAATTGCTTCCATCACTGATTCAGGGTCAACTTCATCTCCATCACCGTCATCTCCATCTATCATCCATTCTTGAGCGTGTGCGATAGCAATTTGATAAAGCACTTCCAAAGTCCTATCTTTTCTCTTTTTGTGTTTTTCCATTAGATTAGCATTGAATTGAACATAAACAAGATTGTTCAATCTATTTGTCTCCAATCTATTACGTTTCTTTGTATGTACCTATAAAAGTACACATAACAAAAGGTTAAAAACGTTCTTGATATTTAAAGATTACAACTTTATAACTAACCGCTTCAAAAGTGCTCCAATTCCTTTCACAACCCGATGAACTACTAGTTAAAGAAAGAATACTCATTACAATCCTTTTCAAATGAGGAGTTGAGCCACCAAAAAGTCTCCACCATCTTGCTATAATTTTAAAGAAAAAACACATTATTAAATTGATAGATATAAAATTCTATTATTTTGTAAATTATTAAAATAAACATAAAGCACATTACCCGGATCAAAGTCGACATTGTTCACCATACAACCTTTAATTGCAAGATCCGCTCCAAATCTATCAACTTTTTCCTTGTATTTTGGCAAATCTATCATCACGACTTGTCTTTGCATCTCAAAATATCCTCAAAGTAATGTATCAAAAAATTCAAGAACCGCATCCATTACGTCGGGATCATGTTGGAGTTGGGAATCCTTATAATGATAATAAGGATTCAAAAGATAAGCTGTCAAATGTAATTTTGAATCTAGCCTACCTTTCATCTTGTGGTTTATGATATCTATAATAGGCTTGTAAGCTTTCTCGTTAACACCCAAAGCTTTCATAATTTCTTCTTTTGCTACTTTAAGTTCCTCGTAAACAAAACCCATTGAGGGCTTCCAATCCGCGTCAACCATTCAAAGGACTTTCACCAAAGGGGCAAACACTTTTAAACATTGTGTCACATCGGCCCAAAATTGAAGACTTGTCACTGTTCCATACGAGGCTCTTCCTTTAGGTGTTCCAAAAAATTTGCATTCCTCCCACTCGTTACTAGAGAACATACTTTTTAGTTGCTCCTTCTTTTCGGATAAACTTTGTAATTTTAGAAAGGCGGAAGCAAATCTTGTGACTCCCGGTCGGATAATTTCCCTTTTCTTGGTGTGGTTTCTCATCATAGCCAAGGTTTTGTGGTGAGCATAAATGAAGATGGTTAATTTCTTTGCTTGATCTAAGACTTTCTTAAACCTTGGAAGTCCACCGATACCTTGAATATATATATTATATATATATATATATATATATATATATATATATATATATATAACAAATTAACGAATTATAGTATAAAATAAGACATGTAAAAAACTAAAATAATAAATAATATAATAAAGAAATATAAATACCTTCGAGCATAAGGTTAGTTGTGTGTGTCGCACATGATGTCCAAAAAATTGTTGGTCTTTTCTCTTGTAGTAACTTTGCAGCTCCCATGTTATTCGTGGCATTATCGGTCACAACTTGAACAACATGATCGAGACCAACTTGTTGAATGCAAGATTCCACATAATCATATATGTATTGGCTTGTATGTGATTCATTGGAACATTCTTTTGATGATATAAAAACGGTACCCATTCTTGAACTTACACATAAATTCATAATGCTCCTTCTCTTTCTATCAGACCAAGCATGTGTCATGATCGAGCATCCAATCTCTTTCCATTATTCTTCGTTTTTTTTTCAACAAACTTTTTGTTCTTTCAACCTCATGCTTTAGAAGTGGATCACTCAAAGAATACCTGGTAGGAGGTGGGAGCCCTGTTCCAAATTGGCCAACAACCTCAAACATCATTTTGAAGCTATCATCTTCCAATGCATGAAAAGGAATTGTAGTTTTATATGCCCACCTACTAATGAATTTATGACACGCTAAAATTCTTTCTTTCCGATCAACATCGTTAAGATCAACTTTTTTTCCCTTTTCCTTCATAATTTCAGGGTTTATTTTATTTGCATAGCCATCCATGGGGCCTATATAACTTGGTGCTTTCAACCATAAAGAATCTTCTATTTCATCCATTTCAACACTATCATTTAACACTTGTATTGCCTCCGATCTTAAGGCCTTATCATGTTCGTGTTCAGCTTTCTTTTTTATCTTCCCTTCGGTAATAAAATTTCGCATTCTCAGTTGATCATCTTTTGTAGAGTTTGGACATCGACTTACATTTCCTGGCACATGACCAATATGTTGTTTCAATCTAGTAACCCCCCCGGTAAACACTTTTCCACACAAGTTACATTTCACTGTATCCATCTTATTTTTATCCGGGCAAAAACCATATTCCCAACTAATATCATCTGAGTTTCGTTTATGAGCACCGATCGAGGTTGATCCCACCGATGGTGAAGTCGAATTTTTGAATGTCATGATTGGAAACTACTATATACACCAGAAAAATACATCAAAAATGCACCAGTTACATTTCACTATATCCATCAAAAACTGCTATAGCACAGTAACACAACAAACATGCACCAGAACTACAACAAATCTTCAAAAATCAACATAACAACTAGATATCATCATAATTCTTATTCTCATCAAAAATCTGCATAACAACTAGTCAACTAGTGATAGCAAGTCAATAAGATGCAAGAAATACAAACAGATACAAGAAATACTGAAATACGAACAGATAATAGCTAGTCAACTAGATAACAGATGCAAGAAATACGAATAGAGCAAAAAAATACTGAAATACGTACATATTGATGGGAGAAATATGAAGAACAGATGATTAGTAGTTGCAGAAATCGGTACCCAGCAAACAGATGGGAGAATTCAACATTTTTTGGAAAAAGTGTAAAACAAATAATCACAGAAATATCGCCTCAACATTAACTCAACAATTTTTGGAAGAAAAAACGAATTTAGATGCGAGAAATAGGAAGAATACATACAGAAATCAACTCAGCAAACATATGGCATTTGCTTCAACAATTGAGAGGGACAGAAATCGCATACCTAAAGGCTGAAGCTTCGCCAGAGTATCTATTCGCTGGAGTATCTGTTCGTCGGTGTCCAATGGAGGTTCGTCGGAGTCTGGTGGTTGTCGGCTACAGCTATATCGCCGGTCCTAACCGAGAACCTTAAAAGCAAGGTATAATTTATGATTTATGTCCTAACTATTTGACTTTCGTTTGACTTGCTTGACTTTTGTTGACATAGAATAGCCGGTTGTCACATTATCCCCCCGTTAGAGGGAATTTCGTCCCGAAATTAGTTCTAGAGTGGGTACTCATGAGCTAGGGAAAAGATGTGGGTACTTCTGTCTCATTTGATCTTCTCGTTCCCAGGTGTATTCTGTCACAACTAGCACTTTTGGCTAGGAAATTCCGTCCTCAGGTAAGTAAGGACTATTGTGAGATTTGTGCTAACACTCCTAAGTGTTCAATATGAGTTCCTAAGGAGCCATAAAGTGTTAGAATGTAAATCTCTCCAAGTATAGTGAATCTCTCCCAAATCTCTCCAAGTATGTGAAATCTCTCCCAAATCTCTCCAAGTGTAGTGAATCTCTCCCAAATCTCTCCAAGTATGTGAAATCTCTCCCAAATCTCCCTAAGTATGCGAAATCTCTCCAAGAATAGTGAATCTTTCCCAAATCTCCCTAAGTATGTGAAATCTCTCCAAGAATAGTGAATCTCTCCCAAATCTCTCCAAGCATGTGAAATCTCTCCCAAATCTCTCCAAGTATGTGAAATCTCTCCCAAATCTCTCCAAGAATGTGAAATCTCTCCCAAATCTCTCCCATATGCGAAATCTCTCCAAGTATGTGAAATCTCTCCCAAATCTCTCCAAGAATGTGAAATATCTCCCAAATCTCTCCACGTATCTCAAATCTCTCTCAAATCTCCCTAAGTACCTTCCTCAGTCGAAAACAGCTCAAAACCGGAAGAGGAAAGCCCAAAAGGACCCCCTTGGTCCGGAACCTCTTGGTCCGGAACCTTCTTGGTCCGGACTCCTCTTGGTCCTGAACCTCTTGGTCCGGAACCCTCTTGGTCCGGAACCTCTTGGTCCGGAACCCTCTTGGTCCGGACTCCTCTTGGTATGGAACCCTCTTAGTCCGGAATGCCTCCTAAGGAACCAAGAGGACTCACCACTTCGGAACTTCCCCCCTTCTTGCTTCGGAACTTCGCTTCGGAAGACTGTTGGCCAGACCGGACTTCGCTCGCATGACTCCGGAATTTGGAAGATGACTTCGGAATTGATCAGACGACTTCGGATCCGAGAAGAGCACTCCGGAATTGCGAGATTTGCTCCGGAACTCCTTGCCACCCAGCTTCAGACCCTCGCAGCCTTCATCCTTCCCTCCGGAAATTAAGATATAGCTCCGGAATTCACTTAAAAGTTTCGGAATTCACCATAGAGCTCCGGATTTCACCTTTTAGCTCCGGATTTTGGTCATTTTCGGACCTTTTCACCATTTTAAGGTATTTTGAGGCCGGAAATTACACCAAACTCTTATTTTTCCTATCCTAAACCCCTTAGACTCCTATTTTATGCTAAAATTAATTATTTTAAGCATATTCTTCATAAAAATAAATGGTTGGGATTTAGGAAAATCTTATCCTAAATAAAGAAAAGGACAAAGGGATTGACTTTGTGATTTGATGATATTCCTCATTTCCCATGCAAATCACAGTATTCCATGCTTTACCCACCAAATATCCATGCATGGACCACCAGATACCCATGCACCAAAGATTCCTCCCTTTTCCTTATACTCCAAAGCAACGACAGTGAGGGAGTTTAGACTCCACTTTTTCTCTCACTTGTATCATTTCCTCTCAAAACTCATCTCCAAGCAAGAACAAGAGCTTGCTGAAAACAAAATTCTCAATTTCTCCCTGGAGTTGTAAGGTAAATTCCTCCACTCATCTAATATTTTATAATATTTCAAGATGAATCCATATTATTTTATCCAAATAATATGTGAAAAATCACCTTTAGGATAACTTTCTCTCAAGGAAGTTCTTCATCTCAGCCAAGAGTTTAAGCTTGAGATCTTCACTCCATAACTCCAGACAACTCCTCAACTAACTCAAGATGAGCTTCATACCCCACCTTTTTCAATGTTTTAATGTCTTTGGGGGAAAGTACAAGTCAAATCTTGCCTAAACTCTTAAATGATTGCATATATACGTATGTTGGTATGTGTGTCTGAAATATTATTAAATTAATATTTTAGTAATATACTCATGAACGTAAGAATTCTCAAATTCATAAAGAACAGAAGACACTTTGTGCAAAAGAGCCTCCCAACTATTGAATGTGTCCAACTTAAACCATTTATCTATGCTTTCATGTCTAAATATAAAAGTTATAATAGGGATCTTGATAAGTGGACACCATTTCTAGTAAATTTTCGAAAATGGAAACTTTGTGACTATTTTGCAAACTGTCAGGAAGTATTTTATAAATATTCAATATAAAAGTTTGCGTCAAGAAAATACACAAATAGAGCCTTTATGACAGAAATATTTGCATGTCATAAACTGCTGTCATAAAACCTCCAAGAACATAAGTAATGTTCTATATGTCATAAAACAGAAAATTCGTGTCATAACCGGCAGTTATAAATTTATACAAATTATAACTTGACACTTTTTCTCTCTTGACTAAAATGACTTATTTTTCAATAAACGAAAAGAACGAACACGAGCACCTAGTTAACGAGCACAATCAACGATATGGAACGAGAACGATATTTCTATTCAATAAGTACGAGTTTCATTATTTATCTAACAAATAATGGATCTCTAACGATTGCTCAAAAGGTTGTTAATATTCTAGTCAGACAAATCTCAAAAGTACATAAATATAAAAATATTAGTGTACGTCTAAGTCCTGTAAGGGGTTATAGCCAGAGTCTCCTGGAGGGACAGCGGGAATTTATGTATAGATCTATACGGGGTTGACACCCCGCACCTTCGTGTTCTACAGCAGACAGGCCAGTAGTGCCAGTCTTGGTGACAAATGTCTTATCCAAACCGAGGGCGCCTGAGAAACGCCAAAACAGGCACTTCGTCAGATTAGTATGGTTATAACGACTCACTAGAATATGTTATATTAACTAGAAATTTATGTAAGGAAAACCTCATAAATAAATTTTGGCAAGTTGTGTTGACTGTCCTACACGTGATAGGTGATGGTCCGCATTTGTTGTGTTGACTGTCCTTCTTCATTGCGTAGAATGTCCACAATAGCCATGTTGATTCTTTCTCCTACAAGTATAGAGTCGTAATACTGCTATTTTTACAAATTAAAAAGCATAGGACTCTATGGAAAACGTTTGTAAGCGATTTTGATAACGATAAACTAACCCACACATATACATAGTTGGAAACTAGAACTTACGATTATCTTATAGCAGAAAATATAGGATTTTCTGGGGAAAACGATTTTTCTACGATTTCGATAATGATAAACTAGAACTTACGAATATTTTATAGCAGAAAATATAGGATTTTCTGGAGAAAACGATTTTTCTACGATTTCGATAACGATAAACTAGAACGCACACACTCAATTTTACTCGATAAGAGGAACAAGATTTTCAACCATATTTCCTTTTTGAAAATAAGGGATTTTTCTTGACACGGTTGATTGTTACTATTCAAAAGAACTATTCTTGGACACAACTCGCTTTTACAAATCACACTACTTTTCAAAATCACTCCTTATAAGGATGAACAAAAGTAATGTCATACACACACATATCCATGATTTTCAAGGCAAGACTTCAAACGATTTCATAGAAAATATCGGATTTTCTGAAAGTACAATGAGAACGATTTTAAACAAGTGTAAACGATGTTATACAAAAATGCTTATGAACTCACCAACTTTTTAGTTGACGCTTTTCAAAACGACTTGTATTCTCAGGTATCTAGTAAGCAGGTAACAAGGGACGCGGTTGCAGAACTATTTAGCTGTAGCTTGGATTTTTCTGCTTATGTCTCTTTTGTGTAATTCGATGAACAAATACAATATTTAAACAATGTAAGTTTGTTATCTCAATGTATGATGTTTGGATTGCTCTGTTCCATTTATATTCAATTGTTATGATACTGCACAATGAAGTCACCCGCCTCCGGACGTTTCCGCCGTCTGGTCCGGGGGTGTGACAGATTGGTATCAGAGCATTGTTTATAGGAAGTGGTATATCTGGCCCTACAAGATATAAACTATAAATACAATGGGACTAAAACACACTCTGCTTTAAAAGTATACTTAAAAAAGATAAGTATTTTATAAAAGTATACATAATCTACTAACACAGTATCATAACGAGAAGGAAACCGAAAGTAAAAACTAAAGGTTGAAACACTACAGTCAAACCTGGGCAGTTATGTAATCAGATATGG